CGCCTACCCTCTTTTTACCTGAATAGCGAATGAGTGACCCCTAGTTGTTAGCAGATTGCATGTCAAAGACCATTACAAGCCGAAGGTCCCACCATTGGGGGTTCCTGTGACCTCTGCCCTCAGTTCCAGTCAAGTAAGGACTGTGTGAAGTGCGCCAATTACAGAAGACGCCATAGATTGTCAGATAACTTGTTTCGACATCAATCCTTATCCTAGAATGCCATATTGTACGACAGCAACCGCCAATGCATCTCTAAGTTTGGAAGGTGAAGGTGGCCAGTCCTTCAGCGTTGGAAGACTGGTCGAATGGGAAGAGAATCATTCAGCCTCCAGGGACTCATTCTGTCGTCTTGAACTGACAAAAGTACCAGTCAGCAATATTATTGGCAACAAGGTGGAAGTCTGCTTTCGTACATAAGGATTTCCAGGAGCAATTAGGAAACAAAATGCAGACCCCATTCGGGTAAATGTATCAGTTGGTATTTTGATATGTACATCGAAGATGAATATGTAGGGGTGGAATGGTCTGGAAATGAGCTGACCGTTCTGTCGTCACAATCGACGACGTCGACCGTGTGCCTCACAGGTTGGATGCAGGATTGTGACCTACGTATGAAATATACTTGCACTGCTTCCTCTCTCACCCACCTGGTTCCGAGGTCAAGACAATATTAAGAACATCGGGGGTGGTCTCGGACGCGGTGGCCGATAGAGTTATACAGCCCGTCTACACGTACCACACATGGCCTAATCCCCCACAGTATGTACCATGATTCATCGAAGGCATATTTCCCACTTACTTCAAATAAAGCGGGAATTATCAAATAGACTATGGGTCGCGGTGGATAAATTTTTACATAGAATAAGGTCATCGCTAGTGGAACGCCAGTGATATCATGTTATATTAAAAACTATATCGCTCAAGGGCGGACTTTAATAAAGGGGTCTGAGCTAGAAGCTGGCAGGCTACCTGCATTTCCGACTTTGATTTCAGAGGTCCTACATTTTGACTTACCTCAGCCTTTCGAACGTACTCCTTTTCGAAAGAGAAGTCACCGCTCACTGACGCGAAGCTCATTTTAACATCGCTGCCCGTGTTCATCGAATACGAAGTCAGAGATGTATAGTTAGTAAAGTGGGAGAACACATCCGAAGAAAGTTCGATGTGAGAACTCTTCAGGTTTTCTAGAGCAAAAACGAAAAGCACAGGAAATTAGAACCTTAGCAAAGGAGGGAATAACTAAAGACAGGTGGGAGTAATCTCTATAAATTCATCCTCAACTTCTTCTTTTAGTAAAATATCTCACACAAAGATTATTGTCGTCTGCATGAACCTGCCTTTTTTCTTCCTTGCATACAATTTTCAAAAATCCCACTATCTGGTGGCTTTTACCCTATATGGTCTCCACAAACGTTAACAAGGACCCTATGGCTTGTAAAACACTTAAGTCCAGGCTTACAGTACGCGCCAGAGTTCGTGCAACATGCCGACATACGCGAAAGATTAATACTCTTTCGTTAATCGGCACTGACTCGAGATGTGGTACTGACTATCGTGTAGCCGATTCTAAAATTATTTCAGTCATAAAAGGATGTGGGCTTTTTGAGAGCTTCGTTCTGTCCACTAACAAAACGCATGTACTGTAAAA